GGGGCTACTGCAGCAGAAGTGCATTTGTGATCCCTGGCATGTCAGCTTGAGCTGGTGCCCAGATTCCACAGGATCAAGGCTCAGGGAGACTTGACTGTTTACCTTGCCCCCTCCCTGGTAATTTTTAAGTTGGCCATCTGCCTTTCAGAGAAGGGGAAGAGTTGATGATACCTGCTCCCTTGCAGGCACTGGGGGATAGGGGTGTCCACAGCCTTCTGTAAACTCAGGGCTGTCCAGGTATGAATGCATTTCCCCAGACTCTATCAGGCACATGGTATCACCTCCATTCCCATCAAAAAAACCTCTAATTAACATATATATTTATTTTTTAACCATTTTCCTCATTCCCCATCTATTTGGGACAACATGCAATGACAATAGGCAGCGCAGGTGTGAAAGTGCAGCCTTGGGCCAGCCCAACAAAGCTGCAGTCATCACACATTGCACTGAAATGAGCCACAGCCATCAAAATGAATCCCCTTCCTTACTCTAGAAACTGTGTTGTTTTTGTTAGGTTTAATTTCATGCTGGTTTGAGTATAGCTTTTGTTGTGGCTTGGTGCCACCTCCACTCAGCTTTAATCTTGTTATCACTTGCTTTCCCCCTTAGAGCTGGCAGGTCTGAGGGATGCCTGCCACTCGAGCTAAGTAAAGCTTGGCTTTACTTAGCCATTGCCACTGCCCTACTCTTATGGGACCAGAAGGCTCATTGTGTGCTGCAGGTTTTACCACTGTACTGCCCTTGTGAGTGGCTAATAAGTCTATTCTGTTCACCAGCCATGGCAAGCAAGGTTTCAGAGCTGGATTACCGTGCACTTCAGACAAAAAATGACGCACATTATAATTCAAAGGGGTGCAGTGAAACACGTGGACCTCAGGGGCCTCTTGTTGTTTTCCCTCAGGGAGTTCAGGGTTAGGGATGGGCTTTTCTTTGCCTGTCAGACTGGCTGTGCAATGAGGGAGGTGCAGGAATTGCCAAGCTGATGCAGTGGTGTATACAGAGTGGCTGGCTGAAGGAAAGCAGAGGGACGTGGGCGCTAAAAGTGAAGCTGCTGAGCTCTGTTTCTGGCCCCCACCCTCCCTGGCTGCAGAGAGTGAGTCTGCCCCTGCTCTATCTATTTGCTTCCTTGGACAGATGAGGTGCCAGCGCTGACCTCCCCCAGAGGAAGAGAGCCAGCAGGTCCATGGGGGGCTTTGGGAGAGTTTCTGAGTGCTGCTGTATCTGCAGTAACCCTTCATGACACACAGCCAGCTTTTCCACAGCCCTTGATTGGATCTTATTGTGCTGCTATGCGCTGTCCTCCCACAGGTGTGATCCAGGCTGGGAGGGCGAGTACTGTGAGGAGTGCGTGCGTATGCCGGGGTGTCTCCACGGGACGTGCCACCAGCCTTGGCAGTGCATCTGTCACACTGGCTGGGCCGGCAAGTTCTGTGACAAAGGTGAGTCATGGGCTGGACATCCCAGCCTCCGGTGCTGAGGGCAGAAGCCCAGCACACCCTCCATGGATATGTGAGCCAGCACAGCCAACATAGTCAGAAGCCACCTGGGTCATGCCTCTTGGGCTGCCTGGGAGATAGGATGTTGCCTGGCTGCCATAGGTGGAACCATTCCCTTCCAAAAGAGGGAAGGCTGCAGGCACCTGCTCCCTGGCTGCATGGCAAGAGCTAGCATGACACTGGCCAGCCTCAGGAGATGGAGCAGGTGAACTCATTCCGTTTCTCATGGTGTGTCAGGACTCGGAGCAGCATCCCCTGCCTCCCCCAGGGCTTCCTGCCTTCAGCAGGTAGCTGATGGACTCCCCTTCTCTGGCCTCAGAGACTCCTTTGTAGCATGGGGTCTCCACTGGCCAGAGAGATGGCATGCAAAGCATCTTCCACAACCACATAGGCACTGCACTTCTGTTGCTGCAGGTGCCCATTGGCGGGGAGGAGGGAGAAGCTCCTGTCATATCTCCATCCCCACTGGGTTTGATGGGTTGTGTTTGCACTAAATTGGCCACATCAACCTTCTTTTCTGCCTAATTCCCACCTTTTTCTTTCTCCTCAGACATACACATCTGCGAACACCAGTCCCCATGCCAGAATGGCGCTCAGTGCATCTATGATCGAGATGGGGAATATTCCTGCTTGTGTCCAGAAGGTTTCCATGGAAAGGATTGTGAGATGAAGACAGGGCCTTGTGAGAAGGCAGGGTGAGACACTGCAGTGTTAACTACAGCCAGCATTGACTTTGGGTCACACGCTGCCAAGTGGAGGCCCAGCTTGGCTCATTATCTGTGGATTTCCATGCACTAGTGGAGTTAAGCCAAAATCATCTTTGGCTTTGGTTTAGCAGTGTGCACTGCATCGTCCTGCTGGGGCAAGGTCTTTTTTGCAATCTGAGCAGATTCCTGTCCCTCACTGCTGTAGGTGTGATGAGCTGACACCTGTCATGCCTTTGGGGAGCATCAGGAGGGCATGTTTCCTCATCAGATCATTTGGCTGAAGACCTTCCCCAGTGGGTGGTGGACCCATGCAAGGTCACAGCCTTTGAGGAGGTTCCACAGCCTCTCACTCAAGGAGACAGAATTTCCCACCCAGTCTTCTCCTTGAGATAGCTGCCCCCATGGAGAGAGCTGGTGCTGGACACACTGGCCATGCAAGCGGCTCTGTGTGTTTACCTCCCTGGAGTGAGGGAAGTTGCTTGCTCTCCAGGGCCATGACCCCATCCTTGCTCTCTCCACACAGGTCTCCGTGCAAGAATGGTGGGCAATGTCAAGACGAAAACGGCTTTGCCAGCAACTTCACCTGCCGGTGTCTCGCTGGCTTTGTGGGGGCTCTCTGTGAGCATGACGTGGACGACTGCCTGATGCGCCCCTGTGCCAACGGTGCCACCTGCCACGACGGCATCAACCGCTTCTCCTGCCAATGCCAGGTGGGCTTTGAAGGGCGTTTCTGCACAATCAACATCAATGACTGTGCCAGCCAGCCGTGCAAAAATGGAGCAAAGTGCTATGACCGCATCAACGACTATGACTGCTTGTGTCCTGACCGTTTCACTGGCAAAACCTGTGAGATCTCCGTCCCAGAGCCCACCTGGTCTCCACCCTACCACCCTGCAAACCACGAGAATGGCGGGGCTGTGGAAAGCACCACCAGTGAGATGCCGGGCGTGACGCAGCCAGAGCCTGTCAGGACCGCGGTCACGGGGCGGCGCGTGGCCAACCACAGTGAGAAAGAGCTGGGGGGAGGGTTGTTGAAAATCTCTGTGAAGGAGGTGGTGACCCAAAGAGACTCTGGGCTGAGCGAAGCCCAGCTGGTGACAGTGCTGGTGTTCGGGGTGCTGACAGCAGTGCTGGTCCTCATCACTGTCCTGCTAATGCTGAGGAACTGGCAGAGGGGCCGTCAGAGGTCGAACTGGTGCCAAAGCCCTTCTCAGGCTGCAAGGAAGCTCCAAGACCAGGAGTGTCAAGTGGGCATGCTCAACACCATCTTGATCGAGCCAAGGAAGACGACAGAGCTGTGAGCTGCGAGCTGCAAGGACTCTGAGCCAGGCCCTGGCAGGTCACCATGCTGGCAAACCCCTCAAACTACATCCTGGGGAGCCACACTGTCACCAACCGGGCAGCGGGGAAGGGCTTCCAGGGCAGTGAACACATCAACAAAACCCTGGGTGTTGAGCACTGGTGTGATGGCCCTGCTCGGGTCTGAGCTGTCTCCTGCCAGGCTGGCTCAGCTGGCACCCACGGGCACCTGAATGGGCTGTGTTGGGCCAGCCCTGCAAGGGAGCAGTGGTGTGCTGCTCAAGGCAGCCCATGTCATGCAGCGCCAGTATCATCTGACAGGAGCCCTCAGAAACAGGACAGGTAGTGCTGAGGAAGGCACAGCCCTCTTGCAAGCTGAAATACTGCCAGGCCCCTTGTAACTCCTCTCTGTGACTACTAGGAGGGGTTTGTCCTCATTTCTGATGGTGTTGGGATATTTCTTCTGGGGCCTTTGGGATGGTTGCCTCCCTGCTCCAGTACTGGATGGGGTAGTTCCTGGCTGTTTCTTGAGGCTGTCATTTCAGATGCCATGTCCCTAGGGAGCAAGCAGACACCCTTGCTCCCTGGTCTTGTGGTTCTGAGCCAGTTCAAAGAGACTCTGAAGACCATCTAAGGTCTCCTCATGCCCTTCTTCTGCCCTGGGTGATGCCCCCTCCTCTTACTGTCAGACTTGGGGTTACAAACATGTTTTGTACTTTCCTCCTGACGATCCAGGGGTCTTTTTGACCGACTTACCAAGCCGTCCTTTCTGGTCTGGCCACAGACGACCAAGCTCCTTCACCTCTGCAGTGTGCACTTCTGCCTCACTATTTGCTCCCCCCTTTGGGGTCCTCTGGGCCTGAGCTGGTCCTTCTCATATGTCCTCATAGGTGAAACTGGAGATGCACAAGGCTGGAGCTGTGCTGTAGCTGGTTCAGGAGCAATACAAGATCCAGGTCCTCCTTTCTTCTCCCATTCACTCTGAGGCAGGCAGCTGGCACCAACCTTAAATCAGCCATTGTAGCGTTTCTTGATACAACAAAGGCTAAGCTCCTCACAGTGGATGTGAGGACAGGCTACCAAGCCTGGGGTGACTATAGGAAGCAGCCACGATACTGCCTTCTCTACCATTGCTAAAGCACGGCTAAGAGACAGTAGATTGGTCATGTCACTTAGCCTTTGGACTAGGTCTGTTCCTGCCTGTGCTGGTCTGGTGTTCAGCAATCAGTGTCTCTGCCAGGGCCAGGGGCTTCTGTGTCACCTCATGGGCACAGAGGGCTAAGCAGTGGGGTAAAAACCCCCACAACCCAAACCCTACTACTGGCTTGTAGGGTTGCAGAGCTGGGTTCAACATGGTGTAAAGAGAGCCGAGAAGTGAGCACTCAGGCAGGAGGGAGACTTGGGAGAGGGGACTGGAGCTTCAGCAGAAAGATTATTTTTTTAATACATGGATGGACGATGTACCTTTATCAAATAAAACAAGCCCAGAAACAGTGTATCAGAGAATCATAAAATAATTTCAGTTGCAAAAGGCCTCTGGACACCAACCTCCTGCTCTCAGAGATCCAAGTGGATCAGGTTGCTGAGCTACTTGTTCTTGATGAGTATCTCCATCACTTCCCTCAAGAATGCAAACCCAGATTGTGTCTGCAGGGGTGGAGATGGCTCCTGCAGCCTCAGGGAAAGGAATGGCACCTAACTCAGGACAGCATAGCAAAGGTGTGTACAGCCTAGACATTGCCATGAGAGTGTTGGGAAGAAGGGGAAAACCTAAGACTGAGTCCAAGGGTGCTAATGGGAAGAGCAAGATCCTAAAACTGAAAACAGCTGTGGGTTTGTGCAGCTGAGAGCAGGGCAGGAAGGACAGAGAGTTTCCCTTAAAGAAGTGGTCTTGAAATAAACTAGCCTTAAAGGCCCTTAATGTAATTGCATTCTGGCCTTCAGGGGAAAGCCTTCTCCACTGTAAACTGGACAAAAGCAGCAAGGTCTCTGGGTGCAACCTTCTGGGCTTGGAAAGGTCAGTGCCTTCAGAAAGCAGAAGGGAGCAGGTAGGGTTGTCTTCGTGCAGAGTGGGCACCACTCCTGTATCTCATGAGGAGGTATGTGTCTGGGGAGGAAAAGGGACAAGGACCTGAATAACTGAGCTTCACAAGGAGGTTTCCACTTTATTTTACATTGCATATGTGAGACTAAGTCTCAAACTAGGAGTTAGTTACTGATTCTTCAATCAGTAGAAAATCCCTCTGTAATCTCAAAGGGGAGCCTTCGAGGGGAGCAGTATTGCACCATCCAGGCTTGCATGACTCTAAACACTTGGTCGCATGTTCCCTATTAAAAGAAAGGCCACAGCGCCATGCTCCTGTCCCTGAGGACAAATAATCGCTATCTGCAGGCAGGAATAAGCCCTTCTCTCACCTCAGCAGCTCCTGTCCCTGCAGGGACAGGGCTGGTGGCTGAGCTGAAAGGAAAGCCAGGCACTGAGCTGGAAGGGCTGCCTGGGCGCAGGGAGGTCATTGCTGCCTGCTGTGCAGGAGGTGCTGGAACAAGGAGCCATCTTTCTGGCTTAAGTGGGTGGGTGAATCCAACTCTGCCACTCTCCCAGCTTGCATCACCAGCACACGGTCTGAGTCCAAGATGGTGTTCAGCCTGTGGACAACAAATGCCAGGACGTATGTTGGTGGATCTGAGGAGAAACTCTGGATACTGCTTCCCCTGCTGTTAAGGGTGGCCCAAGTCATGCCCAACAGTAGGATCTGTGGAGGATCTCCCTCTGCACTCAAGGTCACAGTGCAGTTCAGCTCCCCAGAGAGCCCCTGTGCACTGCTGAAATGCATTACCTCTCAGCAGACCATGGTGATACCTTCCAGCTGTTGGGCACGGCAGGGCACCAGGAATGCAGAGGGAAGTTCTGCATGCCTGATTCTGGGGTTGCACAAAATGTCTCCAGTCCCACAGGGGTTAGTGAGTTGCTTCTGTTTGCCCCTACATTTCCTCACCTGCCACCTCCTGAGGGTGGCAGAAACGCACTTGTGCATCAGCTGTCATTCCCTAGCAGACTGGCATCTTTGCTTATGCCACCACCATCAGTGGATTTGTGGTTGCCAGACTGCCAACCACAGGACCCACTGCACACATATGTGCCCAGTTCTGCCCAGACTGCTAGCAGGGCAGCAACCTCTGGCCCTGCGTGGGGAAGACAGGGCAGTAAGAATGCCTTTGCACAGTCGTGCGCTGTTCAGTGTGGAACTACAGCCCTATAAAGCTGCATGTCACAAGGAAGACACTGCACAGGATTTGAGCAGGCAGAAAGCATTATGGAGTTCAGGACTCTGGTTACACATTCATCCCAAGAGAGTGCAGGCTGCAGCACTGGAAGTGACTTGGAGGGGCAAGTGACAAGTACAGAGTCATTTCCCATCCTAGATTTCCCCAATCCAATTAATGGTTCACCCAAAGCTGAATGGCAAGGAAGAAAAATGGGTACAGAACAACCCCATCATCACCTCTCTCTCTTTACTGCTCTCCCCTATTGCTCTTCATCCAGTGGAAGAGGGGCTGGAGCTATCTTCAACTCAGGTTTGCTGCCTTGCCTTCTGCCACTCCTTCTTCTGCTGGTTCTCCTCTCTAATTACTCCTCCATTAGAGGTGGCCTCCCCACACCCAACCCAAACACACACCTCAGCCCACAGTGCCCTTGTGCTTCTATTCTATTTATGTATAATATCCCTGGTGTAGGAACCACATTCCCTTCACACTCCTCCTGCCTCCCTCCTACATGATGTATTTAACAAGACCCACTCGATTCACTTGCCAGGCCCAGCCCACCCTGCCTGTCATCCATCACTCCCACTTCTGTGCAGCAGGACACGAGCCCCTGCCACCTGCTCATTTGATTTTTATTTTTGTGGTAACCTCTATGCTTTGAAAAAACCCTCCACACAATTTCATAATCCTCCTCCAAATTCTCCTCCACTTGGCAAGAGTAGGAGCAGAAAACACCGTCTAATGCTGATCCACCCCTTCTCTGTGGTATTCATGTTTTGCCCTCCTCCCTCCAGCTGCAACCATCCACTGACCACTCTTACACTAAATCTCTCAGATGTGGGGCAATCACTGTTGTCCTGTCCTGCCTGGGCAATGTTTATGTTACTGGAATCGGGTGCAGGCTGGGACCAAAACTCAGGATTTTGGAAAACAGAACTACCCAGGAGCTGGCTGCAGCCCTTTGCCGCTGGCTGTCCTGCAGTGCCCTCTACTGAGCTAGAGTCACCAGCTTCTTGCCCCACCCCTGCCGGTCTCCACACTGCTCCTTTCTGTAAGATTACTTCTCCATTACTCTTCACCCTAATTTGGCAGAACCACAAGGCCTGATTCATCCACTCCACGGATCCCAGGAGGCAGTGCCCAGGAAGAGCAGTCTGTGACATGATGCAGCATTTTGCCCTTTGCTGATATCAATTTCTGGGTACAACATTTTCACGTCCAGTTATTCCCAGCATCCGGCAGAAAAGGCAACAGGCAAAGTTTAGCTTTTGCACTTGAAAAACCTTATCACAGAGACCTCCCTGCTCAGCTTGAGCCCCAGGCATGGCATGTGCAACCACCTCTACCTGTGAGTGGCAGGACAAATTTAGGCACAGAGTGCTGCTTCCTCCATACCTGTGAGCAATAGTCAAAACAGTTTTGCCAGCAAAGCGCTGGCGGATGGTCTGCTGCAGCAGCTGGTCTGTCTTCTGATCCACACTGGCTGTGGCCTCATCAATGCACAGCACCTGCCAGGGACAGAGAGTGAAGGGAAGTCCCAAGCACCACAGCAGAGACCCCAATCCCTGCCTAGAGACAGCCTGCGAAGTTAGCACAGGATGTCTGTTCCCATCACTACTCCAACTCTGCAGTGCTCTCCTCTGCTGTCCCCAGACAGCCATCAGCAGCACCCCCCCCCTCACTCCGATGGAGGCAAGACACTCACCTTGGCCTGTGTCAGGAGGGCCCTTGCCAGACACACCAACTGCCTCTGTCCCACAGACAGACTCTTTCCCAGCTCGCTGTCCAGTCCACCTGCAGGGGTCAAGATCAGCAGTCACCCCACCTGCACAGGGTTCACAGGGTCCCAAATGGCACCCCCAGTCCAAGGTTTTCCTAGTAGCACAAAAAATCCCAATCCTGCTCAGGCCCAGGCCTTGGGAACAGTAGCCTTTACACTTAGACAAGCAACATCTGGCACAGAGATGCCATGCTCCCCTAGAACTAAGGCCTGGGTTACCTCTAAGGCACTGCTCTAACATCCACTGAGAACTGGTCTCATCACCAATATTCTGCCACCCAATCCATCACCTGCTAGTCCCTTGCCACTAAATCTCAGAGAATGCCACTGGGTCCTACTGACCTGTTCCCACGCTGGTTTCTAGCATGACCTCACCTAACTCACTCTCTACGGCATCCACCTGGCCCCTTTTCCTCAGCTCCCTGAGCTGAGGCCTTCTCTCCTCTCCCAGCACCAGTGCTCACCAGCTGCTTCTCTGTGGGTTCCAACTCACCCATCTGAGTAACAGCATCCTGCAGGTGGCACTGCTCCAGTACTTCATGGAGCTCAGCATCTGTCCATTTTCCCTGGGGGTCCAGGTTCTCTCGGATTGAGCCACTGAACAAAAATGGATCCTGGGGGATGATGGCCAGCCTAGATCTGCAAGCAAATGAGAGCTGAAGGCTCATAGGATAGGTTGTGCAGAAAAGCAAAGGCCTGCTATTTTTTTCATGAGGTGTCTTAGCTTGCTACAAATCTTAGAGGCACAGAGACAAGGGTCATATATTCAGCCTAGTTTCCTTAGCACATCTGTTCATAAACAACAGAGAAACTCATAAGAAGCTGCCACAGTCAGACAAGAGGGTGCCTTGACAGTGAGTCCTTTACTCCTCACTCTTCACTTTGGCATCCAACCACTGACAGCTCTCAGCCTCCAGGCCCCATCAGCTCCCCCTCACTCTCTGCTCAGCCCTCCATACCTCAGCTCCTCCAAGCCCACCAGCTGGCTGTCAACACCATCCAGGAGAATTCGGCCTGATTTCAGCTCCACCATACGGAAAAGGGCCAAGAAAAGGGTGGATTTTCCAGATCCTGTGCGACCCACAATCCCCACCTTCTCTCCAGGATAAACAGTGAAGCTCACACCATCAAGTGCATTAGGCAAGCCCGCTCTGTAGGCCAGGACCACTTCCTGGAACTCCAAAAGCCCCTGGCTTGGCCAGTCAGCAGCAACCTAAGAGGGATATCCAAGTGAGAAAGGGTATGATAGTGACTGTCATCTTCAGCCCCACCTCCCCACAGGCCAAGCCCCCTCCCTCCCTTCAGATGGCTGCTTGGCTTCTGAGCAGAACCAACATACAGCTCGGTTCCAACTCCAGCCCGCTTCTGGGACTGTGTTTCTCTCACAGCTATCTAGCACCTGTTCTGCTCCCCTAGTCCTTCCCATCATTTCAGCCTTCACCAACTCCTCCCAGAGATTCATCCTTCCCAGCGGATGTACTGGTAAAAGATGCACGATCAAGGCGGTTTCTGTGGGTGAGGGCCCTCCACCCATTCACCAGAACCCTATGATCTTCCCAGGGGAAAAGTGCAGGGCACAGAGCCAGAAGATAGGCCAGTCCCTGAGAACACATTTGAGCTTTTACCTGGACCAATCTATCCTGGGGCTCCATGGGGATGTCTGTAGTGTATTCCTCTGTCCGCTCCACACTCACCATCATGATCTCTGTGTGAGTAAAGCTGGAAATGAGGTCTGAGAGCAGGCTTGTGACAGAAAGGGCATATGAGAGTGCCAGGCCCACAAGTCCTGTGAGGACAAAAGCATAAGCAAGAATGTTACCGGCAAGGAAGAAGCTGGGATCTTGGCGGCCGAACAAAAAACGCAAAGGAAAAGTCAGGACTCTGGAGTCTGGGATCCCACTTGAGGATGATGACAGAAGCAGGGACAGGAGCTGAAGCGCTACATTGTGGGTGACTTGCAGAGGGACAGGGAGCAAGAGCTCTTACCCTAGTGTAGGAAAATGTGCAGCTCTAGGCTAGGAGAGGTGGAACTCCTAAGCCACAGCTTAGGAGTGGACATAGATCAATCCCTGGCAGTCTACCTGGATTTCCCAGTTGCTTCTGGTGCTGGATGATGGCAATTCCTGCAATAGCAGTAACCACAGCAACTCCAATCATCTGTAAGCGGATGTCCAGCCACTCCATTGCTGTGTTGCTGGCAAAGAGGCAGCGCTGGTTCTGCTCCAGGCGCAGCTGATTCTCCAACTCAAACCTGTCAGGCACAAAACAGAGGTTTGCATCGCTCAACCTCCATTTCTGTTGCCCCAGACCAAGGGTGTTCCAGCCACCCTATAACCAGCTCCACATCAGGAAGGCCCTGGCCTATAAAGCCAAAGCTCTGTCTCTTTGGGCACTTGCACCTTCCACTCACCTCTGTGTTGCCCGCATGGCTCTGATGCTGCTCAGTCCCGAGAGGGTCTCTGAGAAGTGAGTGTAGATGGGAGACAGGGTGACACTGTAAAGGCGCTTGAGCTCCCGGGATGTGTGTCGGTAATAGCGCTGAATGGAGAAGTAGAGTACAGCCAGAGGGAGTAAGACCAGACCAATCCAAGGGAGGCCATAGGTTATTATCACTAGCATGCCCAGGAACCCGTACATGTTGGCCAGGAAGATGTTGAGGACAAATGGCAGGCTCTCATCCACACAGTACAGGTCTGAGGAGAAGCGGTTCAGGATTCGGCCTGTTGGTGTGGTGTCAAAGAAGGTGACTGTGGCCTGGCAACAAGGGAACCAGAAAGTAAGAGCTGCAGTGAGATCCAGCCACAGAACAGTTTGCAGGGGAGCAGCACCAAGGGGAGCACATAAGGCCACAAATGGATGGCCACCACAGCCCACTTCCCTTCCTCAGCTGGAGCAGAAATCTCAGCTTCCAAAGCCCACATCCACTAGCAGTCAAACAACTCACGCTGTTCACATGGTAAAAGGAAGCAGCCCTTCTGTAGCAAATGTCATATAGCTACCCAGACAGCAGTCACTCAGATGCCATACTTGCCCACCAGCAGCAAGTGAGGCAATTCTTGCCTCTAATTCTAACCCTACCCTGAGGACCCAAGGAAAACCAAAACATAAAGTTAACTCGCACGTGCAGCATCAGCCCTAAATCTTGCTTAATGGCTCCTTCAAATCTCATCTGAACCTGAGTTTACAATCCTGCAAAAACTACTTCGACTCAACTGGTCCTTATCTTGGCTATATATCTACACCTAATGAGTGAACAAATGCAGATGGCAGCCATAAAACACCCCTCCATGGAATGAACAGGGCACACTTTTAACTCCAGCTCATTGACCCCTTTGTGCCGGCTGTGGTACAGCTCTTTTTGGATATAGGCCTACCAGCCAATACCAGAAGAAATTCTAATCTACCTCCCACATCCTTACTCCCAGATATGAGAAGAATGTCAGCTTGCAGGAGCCTCAGCCTGCCCTGGACTTTCTGCCCATTACCTTTAGAGCCCTCTGGAGCAGTCGGTTGTGAATGACAGTGGCAGCATGGAGAGTGCCATAAGCAAAGAGGAACGCCCGAAGAATGGTGAAGAGGGAGTTGGCCCCTGCAATGCTCCCATAAACTATCAGGTAGAAATTCACATCCACTGAGCCATTGGAAGGGACCGGGGGAGTGTCCAGAGCTTGAATGGGGAAGCTAGAACAAAGGAGGAGGAAGATTATGAATCTGCCAAGGTCCCCCTGAAAGTAAACTCACAGACAGGGGATGAGAACCCAGGAGCATACTCAAAGGGAAATCAGGATACTTCAATACTCCTGTGATAGCCCTTTGGAATGTTGGGACAAACACTCTAATTACTGTGCAGGTAGGTGTCTTCCATCAGCTCCAGGCAGAAGCCCTTTGGGCACCTTATCACGTCAGAGATTTTGATTCTCTTTGTCAAAGCAGCCACACACATCCCCTGCAGCGAGGTGCTCAGCTTATCTATCCCTGCTCTTAATAAGGATCTTCCACAGGAAATGCACTTAAGGACAAAATGGATGTGTTTCCAGCTTCCTTTGGCACCTCCAGACTAGATTCACTTACACAAGCCCAGCAATGGAGAAGAGAAGCAGCTCTGGGGAAGGCAGGGAAGCTGAACAGCTCATCACAGAGGTATTTGCTGTCTGGGATATGCTGGAGATCCAGTATGACAGCCACCAATCTGAGATATTTCTGGATGCTACAGAGAAAGACAGACTACATAAAAAGGAATTCAACTTTTAAATCAGCAAATATGAAGCAGAAAAGCTGGAGGAGAAGCTGCTGGACAATTTTTGGATTGCCCAGTCTAGTCTTCCCCTGTTAGTAGTAGAGCAGGAGAAAGGGAACAGCCTTGAGCTGCAGCAGCAACAGAGCACTGCTAAAGGTGTGGTAATGCAACTGCAGCAGTGAGACGCCAGATTCTCTTCCCACATGTGCCCCCTCCTTACTAAAGTAGCTCCTTGAACTACTTTAATTTGGAGAAGAGAAAAGGAGTCTTCCTGCTCCAGGGAGAATGATTAAACCCCCAGCCTCTTTCCTTCCCTTGGACTCCATGGAACCAGGGAATGAGATGAGAGGACAGGAATGTCAAAAGAAATGTGCTGCTGGGCCACTGCCTCACCTTGCATCAGGAGCAGTGAGAAGAGGATCGATAACGCCAACCAGGTGCCCACTGCCAGCCAATATGCCTTGTACACCTGAAAAGCCACTGCCCCTTCTTTCTTCTCCTCCTCCTTGTGAATGAGATTATTGGTTTGGATTGATTCTTCTTTCTCTGTCTCTATGGCCTCTTCTTGTCCCTGTTCATTGGGGGCTGTGGGAATGGAGGCAAAAGCAAAGGTCAGTGTGATGTTAAGTTCTTCCTGCAGCTGCTCCTTGCTGTGAAGCAAGTCTAGGCTATAAGGGAGACTTCTCTCTCCTCTTTCAAGACAGGTGCACTAATGCTGGCAGTTCTTCATCCAAAGCTGGACTACAAGTGGAACAACAGGTTCAAATACTGCTCCAGACCAATATATGTGGGCCTCCTGTCCCTCTGTATACACACTACCCACAGATCAGCACTGCCACAGCAGAGCAAGGTGGTGGGAACTCTGCTCTAGGGCCAGCAGCCATCAGGTACAGGTTCTGTCTGGGGGGTCAGCTGAGCTGTGCTGCCCCAGCCACCCTCAAGCTTGCCAGGAACAGACCTTTATCCTTCTGCTTCTTGTCCATATCCTTACACTTGGGGAAGGCTTCAACAAGTGGCAGGATATCAGCTGGTGTGCCTGCAAAGACAGACATGCAAATGCTTCAGCATCTGTGAGGAACAGATGCCAGCTACCCACTGCTGACCCGGTTTTGTTCTCTCATAACATTCCTTCCATTATGCAGCAACTGCATCCTTGCTCCATTCAACCTGCTATGGCCTCCTGCCTTATCAGCTCCCCACACCTAGGGTTGTCCTGTTTTATCTGTGCATCTGCACATTCTCTTCCACTCCATCTCTGCCCACATGCAGTATCCTCAAGTTCTTTTATCATTGGGTTCCCCACTAGTTAATCCTAATCCCTTGTGTCCGCCTTTGCTCCAGCCACTCCTAGATACCAGCACAAATGAATGCCTGAGAAGACAGAGAGTGTACCTGTCTTAACTATCCTGCCATTGTCTATCAACAACAAGGCATCGGCCTTCTCCAAAAACTCCGTCCTGTGGGTACAAAGGATCCTGGTCTTGTGTTTGAGAACTCCAAGAATGCATTTCTGCATAATATGGTTGGCTACATCTGCATCAACAGCAGCTAGGGGATCATCAAGGAGGTAAAGCTCTTTCTCCTGAGAGGGAGACAAAAAAACAAGGATACAGCTCCTGGCCCTGCTGGAGCAGGCAGCGCTGTAAAGAAAAATGCAAGTGCCTCCGTGTGGCACCCTGCCAGCGTCTTTAGGCTAGCACGATGTGCTTTAAGACATGCTGCCAGAGCTCCCTGTACAGCTGGGTGCTTCCAGACTCTTCACATCTGACTTGGCATTGGGCATGATCTGCCACACAATAACTCCTTTGTTATTTACCTGATAAACAGCTCTGGCAAGGGCTACTCGAGCCTTCTGTCCCCCACTGAGTGTCACACCATGTTCACCCACCTCTGTCTGATCACCTGCTGGTAAAATCTGAAACATTCAAGAAAACCCATTTAGAAAGGACAGGAAACTGCTGGGGACCCAAAGCCAGGACACAGGGGTCCCTCTCCAGTCTCTGGCAGTAATTCCTAAGGGTGACACCTTACCAACAATTAAACAACGGAACAGTCTATATACTGATTCTACAGACAACTGGCAAGCTTAGCATTTATGCAACCAAAATCTCTTCTGCTCCAGAATAGAGTGGTCACATCTGAACTACCCATTGAGAGCAACTTCTGGTCCGAGACAATCACATGTGGTAATTTTATAGGACAGCAAGAGCTGTGCCTGCATCAAAATCGTGCCAGGGTCCTTCCAAACAGTTTAGCAGTAAAAACTACAGCATTTCAGTGGCTATAAACAGTTTCCTCTTGATTTGGTAGCATAGGCATATTCTACTACATCTCAAAAATCTTGCCTTTACTGAGTATTCATAGCTCTTACCAAAGCAAACAGGAGCTGCCAGTGCTTGGCACTTGAGAAAATCAGTCATTGGCTCATAAACTGGGAGGAGAAGGCTAGCTTCCTACCATATATACAGTCAGGTTTACTGGCTAATACAGCCATAAGCCTTAAATT